AGAAAATGAAGTGTCACCGAAATAAAAAATCGCCCCAGATTACCACCAATTACACTTAATAACGCTCTCCGGACCATCTGCTGATCAGATGGAGGCCCGGCGTGTCGTAGAGGAAATAATTGTACCCCAAAGTGCGAGAAGTCGGGAGATTCATTGAGGGAGACAGCGACATATTTAACTACGCGATGATGTGGTTTGATCTTCACTGTCCGGACAGGAATGCTTTGTATGGTAATGCAGTCAGAACTTTGTATCTTGGGATAATGACCGTGTTGTTTCCGAGGGGTTAAGTCCTGCTAGATTGGAGACATGTGTCTGCTCTGCTTTATTAGTCATTTATTAGTCACTGAGGTCAGGAGAGAGCTTTTTTTTCTTCCTATAGCCGAGGCACAACACTGCTGGACTTGAACATGACTCTGATCGTCAGCCCCCGAGGCAGTTTGGATAGGTGTACAGTTATGATGCACCCCGACTGGCCACCATCCGTTCTTCCAGTGTGCGTGAAGCGTGTTCAACCGCCAACGTTCTCGCCGTCACAGTGGCCGTAACCTTCCTCTGAAGAGTGGGTCGGCCGCTGATCGCCAGAATCATCGGCAGTGCATTCGTTCAACTGTCTCCCGTCTATTGTCTTAGTGGTTTAGCCTCCTCGGTCACGGGGGGGGGGGGTGCTGCACTGATCAGATGATAAGGCCCTTTCCGAGGCTCGCTGCGTTCACACAGGATTCCGTCATAGGAGGAAGCGTGACAAATGGATGACATCAGAGCAGCCGTGCTGCAGGGTGATTGGGACCCTCTTTCCCTGCAACCCAAGCCCAAAAAATAATCACATGCATCCCAAAACAAGTTCTCTAATAACAATGTTTATCTTTTTAGAATGGCTCTCATTCCTTTTTGTATTCATGTGCTATGGAGCTTACAAACTGCTCCCTTTAATTTGACTTCTCCTCTCATATGTTTCACTGAGCTCCTCGGTTTACTGTCATCCTGCACTGATCCTCACTGAAAAGAACGTGCTGCTTTAATTATACAGGAGGGGAGGCAGACTGAGAAATAGATACCATGTGATGAAGATACCACTGTTACACAGTATTATTAGACACCAGGTTATCCACAGGGATTGTTTGTTGCTCGCAGTCCTCGTTACAAAATCTTCTCTTTTTTCTTGTGTGTGTGTGTGTTGTTTTTAAGAGGCGAACAACAATAGAGTCCTTATATGTGCCTGCGTCTTTAACTGTCAATGCTGACATCAGTGGCTCCTTGTGAGGATGAGCCAGCACATCTGTACCCGGTCTCTTCCCCGAACACAACATTTGCCCCCGGTGCTTCTGGCATCGTCCTGCCTCGTTCTTCCTGCCCCTGCACCCCTGGTCTCACGCCCCTAACAGCTTCTCAGGCAAATTGGGCCTGAATGCTTGCAACTGTGTTTTCTGTGAGAGTAGGTATCGCCACCCTGCTTGTTCCAAGGTGCTTGCTAGAATTGGACTGAATAGTAAACTATATTCTCATGGAAAATGTGAAGATTTCTTTTAAATTACTGTGCTTACAGACCAATTTAAACATTTTTACACTCTGTGTTTCCTTGAACTCCTTGTTGCTGAAGTAACCTTTGCAAAGGTGACTTATTAGACTTTTTTAAAACCTGTTAACTTGATATTAGTTTTCTGGTTTCTGGCCTTTATGGCCGCATCGCTACACTGCATCGCTGCACTGCATCGCTGCACTGCATCGCTATTTCCCCCCATTGTTGATCTGTGAAACCAGCGGTGGGCAGTACGGTGTCGCCAGTGAGCTTGTGTAAGCGCATGAAGCAAAGACTCATGAAAACATTGCTCTGTAGTGGACAATAAACTCGATTTCACACAGCGGCAATTTGGATCAGCTCACGTTTTCCCGAGAAACTACAGTATAATAGAAAAAAATTGATTCAAATCCAGAGCCAAAGGAATGTAGAGTATGATGAAAGCACATCTGCTGACCAGACCACCCACAAACTGCACAACAAAAAAGAAAAGAAAGAAAAGCTCATCGATCTCTAAAACTCGTTCACTCGTTAATTCCCACTAACGCACACGCGCTACGCTCTCGCTCCTCCTGGCGCTGCTGCTGGAGGGCTGACATTTCCCCTCAGAGCACTGACGCTCCTCCGGGCTTCCACCTCTGGATCAATCTTGCCTCAGAACACACAATGAAATGTTCAGCGCTAAATTACCGTGGCGCATTCAATATAAACCAAATTTGCCGTTGGGTGCCATCCAAGCCACCATGTGTTCGAGGAGCCCGTTTCCCAAACCAGAGCATGACTGATGCTGTTAATCCAGCAAAGCTCTAAATCACCGGAGCGCTAGCTTTCTCCTGCGAGAACCTTAACACCCTGGTATAACACTCCCGGAGACCCTTGAGAAGGTGCCTCTCGGATGGAGCAACCCGAGTCCACTTGAGCTTTGGTAGCCGTCGCCATGAAGGTTGGTTACGGGAGACGCAAAGGCAGCCCCCGCCTGGTCGCGTTAAAGCCGCTCATTGCAAAGTTGTGGTGAAGTAATCCGTCCAGAGCAAAGAGTGAAGTCCTCCAATCCGTGTTGAAAACCTTGTACGATCCAAAACAAAGGCCAATGTTGCGATGTTGCTGCCAGATGTTCAAATGGATGTTAAAGCAGCATCGTCAGTGTTAAAGTTCTGGTTTCATCTGCCTTCAACTTATCAACGGTTTAAGTAAAGTCTTTGCTGATGTAGGTGTGGATTAACTAGACAGCATGAAGATCTGTCCCGATGTTCACTGAGAGAAGATGTTGTCGAAACAAAGAAAATGTCTGACAGTTTGTGAATATTCAGGTTCAATACTGTAACCCTAAAACCAGGCGCAGTGTTTTTTTTACATACTCTCAAAAACGGAGCTCCACCTCAGTTCAACGAGTTCTCAGTGAAGACTCGAGTGATATCTCCCATCATGCTGGAAAACAATGGCTGCATTATTTGCGAGCTGTGGTGAAATTATCTGCAGACAGGTAATCAGCGTCCCGGGACCCTCCCCGTCTTTTCTTTATGTCCAACTCATTTAAACGGTGGACTTTTCCTGGCGAGCATCCGCTCCGTGTTGTGAAACGGCGAGCATTGTCTCATAATTCGGGTTACATTTACCAGGCTCCCCGGTTCGGGTCTACGCGGCGACTGTGATGTGTGTATGTGTGTGAGAGGGAGCATGTGCATTCAGTCAAGCCCGTGCGGGGCTTTTTGATGACCATGGTTTTATTTGGTTGTTTTTGCGTGCATGTTTATGGACAGTCGACGCCCGATTTAAGAGATCTATTAGTCATCTCCATCATGTCACTTCAGGCCATCCTGATTGAATTACGGTCGACTGGAGGCGGAAGAGCGCTTGGCTCCACGTCAGCGGGCCTTGAAACGTTCATACAAAACCGAAGGAAGAAACAATCCCAAATTTATTATAAACACAACGGTTTGCGTTGCCCGAAAGCAGAGCGGAGCCGAAAGACGTCTTGCCTTCCGTCAACGGCTCTGAGTGAAACCAGCGTCGCCCGCTCTGCCTTTTTCTCCTCTCCTTTGTGCTTCAGCGATGACCCGCGACGGGACAAACGCAGAGGAGATTAATAAGTGGGGCCGTCAGCTGTGCAGAGATGTGTCTCACAGTGAGCGTAACATGGATCACAACGCTCCCTTGTTTTCTCTTGTCTTTTGTTCGTCTTTTTAACCTTTGCAACACCCCCCCCGCCCCTCCCTTCTCTCCCTGTTACTGTTTACTCTCCTTTTCCATTTGGTACTCATGTTGTAATATCTTTCCCCTTTGTTGGTCCCTCTTCATTGTTCAAGTTTGCACGAATATTTCTCCGACTGTTTCAAAATTCAGTCCATTGTTCAGTTCTTCATTCCCACCAGTACACATTTTTTTCACATACGGGGTGCTTAGGTGACTTTATTATTTAATAGGTCCTAGTGTGTGATAACATTGTCAATAATATTATTAGGACAAAATTCAATTTGAGAAATTGAGTTAGGAAAGTTGGAACAGGGGACGAGTGGCCGCCTACACACTAGAGTGTGGAGATATCATCTTACCCCTCACAAATATTTCTTCATACACGAGGTCCCCCCCTCGCCCCCCTCCCTCGGTCACTTTCATCTCGCTCCCTCCTATTTCCATTATGTTTTGGGTCCCATTCATAAAGCCTTTATTTCTTACCAAGGTTGGGGTGATGAAAAATCCTAAGAAGAAAAATCGCTGTAGTTGATCCAAATAAATAAATAAATGGATGGGTGATATGCAGATATGACCCCTTTATTTGCTCCACCGTAATTCTATTTTTAGAACCTTTTGAATGAAACATCATCAATAATCTAAAGTGAGCCTTTTGGCCTTCGCATAGTGCCTCTAGATCAGATCGCTGAGTGCTTCTGCCACACTTTAAATATATTTATTTTTTATTAAAAATGTACCAATTTAATTGATCTAATTAAGTAAATCAAAGTGACGTCAGCATTATTACAAAATGATTGCTTTCATAAAATTAGAACAACTGGTGGTAAATCTTAAGGGACAGCACATGAAGTCTTCATTACACTTTTTACTGGCTGGATCGTTCAGGCACATTAATTGGAGTTTGCTTATTTTAGCAAAATGGACGCATCGCCATTTGGAACCCAATTCCACAATCGCTCCAGCAATAATATTTGGCAATAAATCTCTCGGACTTTATTCTTACCGTCATCCGTTGGCCAAAGAGCTCTCCATATATCACTAGAAACTACAGTTGTGGCAGCCAGCAATCATTCCTCAAGAGAATATGGATAATCTAATAGGATTTCAACATGTCACGGATGGCGTGGATCCCATATAAAGTGATTATTCTTCCAGGGCAGTCAGTAGGATTCACTGGATCCCCGCTGCTCGGCCCACTCTGAATGGAAGAATGACACCGGGTCACCGCTGAGCTTCACAAATTGTGGATTTATTCAGTTATGTGATAGTTCTTGTGCTCCTCTTTCAGCGAATGCTCCCTACTGCTCGGAGAAGGACTTGGACAACGAGCTGGGTGACGTCGAGGGCACCCTGATGCGGTGTGGGCAGAGCCTGCCACTGCTGGTGGGGGGTCATTTGGGGGGGCTTTACACCCAGAGCCTCCACAGACCTGCGTCCGACCTCATTCCGCAGGACGGCCCTCACCAAGACACCAGGTAAACCGCCACTGCCATTTCGTCATCGTTTTTTCAAGTGTTTCCTGTCGGGTGTTGTGTTAGTAAATGTATGCAGGTACAATCTGTTTTTCATTATCTTTGCTATTGTGGAGCAGATGTGCACACATATGTAGCAGGAAAATGTTTACGCAGTCTCGTGAAACACACCGACGGGGTACAAAGTACAACATTTATGTTACACTAATGCAATTCTCGTGTTGTGAAATTCTCTGACTACCGTCGGTCCAGTGAGAAACGGTTTCGAGTCAAATTCTCCGATGTGGGGTTTGTCCCTCCTGTCCCCTCCTCATCCGATCTGGACAGCCATTCACTTCTTTCATATGCTCTGTCAATATTTTCTCTATAGCCAAACAGGAAACGGTGCTCCTGAATAGAAAGAGAGGGTGGTGGTGGTGGTGGTGGTGGTGGTGGGAGGGGGGGGAATACTTTATGAACAAACACGATGACAGAGTTCTCCGGCCCTAGCTAACGTTAGCTCAGTCCCCCCCCCCCTTTTCTTTGGGGGGGGGGGGGGGGGGGGGACAAAGACGATACCTTCATGAGAAAAGGGAGCTTTTCTCACATCACTCAGGGGCTTTGGACAAAATCCATAATGAGCCAAATGACAGGAATGATTATGTAGGAGATCACAGCGACGCATGGAGAAATCTGACCTGGGTTCCCCATTCAGTGGGGCAAAGATTCCCACCATAATACACAGTATTGTAAACGATGACCCTTCATAGCCCGCAATTATGCCACCAAAACAGGTGACTCCCTATTTATCCCCAATATTGGGTTGGGTTTAACCCCTTTGTGTCATCAAAGCCTGTCAGATGGACACACTAGCCAGTGGCCTCTCGGTCTCAGTAGCCGTCCGTCCCTCCCCCTCTCTCTATTCTTAGTCATAAATGCCCATTCATATCCTCTCACTACCAGGAGATCCTGTTTCATTTATTCACGTAAGCACTCGGTGGATTCTGCCGACAAGTGTTCAACATGTCCTTCAGTCACTGAATCCTACTCAACGTTAACGTTTGTTTCCGTCGAGGTCCCTTAAGGTGTATGAAAGACTTGGCCGAATTATTTTCAACCGGTGGGTTTTTATGTAAACTGGGAGATTGGTCGGAAGGAGGAGGGGTTAGCAAGAGGCTAAGCTCTGACTGTGCCGCCAGTGGGAAGGATGAAACGGCCAGTGTCTGTCATCAGCCGACGAGCTAATAGCGCTCATATTCCTCTTTGTGTGTTTTTCTCCTTACAGATCCTCCAGTGGCTTCCAGAGGACCCTGCCGGGGGCCTCACCCGGCCCGGGCTGCGGCGCTGCCAGCGGGACTCGCTCCTCACTCCTATACCCCATCAAACAGGAGAACTCAATGGGCTACAAGATCTCCAACCTGGCGTCCGGGGTCCACAGCACTTCTCTGGCCGGGTTTCAGAACTGCAGGGCGGGCCACGCTTTGGGCACGTCGAGGGACGACGTAGTTGGAGCGGCACATGTTAGCGGCGGCGCAGGCGGCGCCGTGTCAGGCAACGCGGCGCAGCCGTTTAATAATGAAGATGGCTCCTCCCCGCTGGCTTTGTCCCCGACTGGCTCCCGTCATTCAGCGCGGCTAGTCAGCGCTAGCAGTCTGAGGAGACGCTGCCTGTCCCTAGCCTCGCCGTCCACCTCCGCTGCGGACGGCGCTGCCACAGCTTCCCCGCTGGTCACCGGCGCTTCCTCCTCCGAGATCAACATCACCGCCATCATCTGCTCCTCCTCCCAGATGTCGATGGTCGCCTGCGTCAACGGCTTCCGCACCAACCTCTCGCCCAACCACGCCAGCAGTGCCGGCTTCTCCTCCTCCTCCTCCTCTTCCTCCTCCTCCTCCTCCTCCTCTTCGACGTCCCCGCTCTCTAACCCCTGCTCGCGGGAAGCCCCCCAGAGGCCCCCGCCTCACGGCAGCCCCCGGCAGGCCGCGCTGCTGGAGAGCTGTCAGCTATCCTCACCTGCCACCTGCCTGCTGTCCCTTTCCTCCTCGTCATCGTCCTCCTCTTCGGTGTCATCGGTGGAGCTCGAGCAGGGCCAGGGGCTGTGCGAGGAGCCGGGCTCTATGCTGCCGGGGCGTGGGGCCGGGGGAGCTGGCGGGGGAGGTGTGGGAGGAGGGGCAGGAGGCTCCGACGGGCTGGGGCTACTGATGAGCGGGGCCCTGATGTCTGGGATGCTGCAGTCGGGGCTGGAAGTCGGGCCTCTCCTGGACCGCGGCCAAAGGTCAGGGGCCGCCCTCAAACAGGAGCCCATGGATGATTTTTCGCCCAGCGAAGACGAACTCTTTCAGCACCACTACCATCACCACCACCACCACCACCACCACCTGGGTGGTCGCAGCGGGCACCTTCGGCAGCCTCACCACCCCTCTCGCCCTGCTATGCCTCCGCCCTATCACCTTCACCAATACGGGGGCCCGCAGCACCACCAGAGCCAGCAAGCGGCGCCGACCGCCTCCCTTGGACTCAAACCGTCCCCCGGAGGCCCCCCCGGGACTCACGCGGCCCCAGAGCGGGAAGACGGTGGAGGAGGTGGAGGAGGAGGAGGAGGAGCAGCGGTTGACAAGCAGGTGTGTCGCTGGATCGACTGCAGCGCTGCGTACGAGCAGCAGGAGGAGCTTGTGAGGCACATTGAGAAGGTCCACATCGACCAGCGCAAAGGTGAGGACTTCACCTGCTTCTGGGCCGGCTGCATCCGTCGCTACAAGCCCTTCAACGCCCGCTACAAACTGCTCATTCACATGAGAGTCCACTCGGGGGAGAAGCCCAACAAGTGTATGGTGAGTGATCGCAATCCGGTCAAGTTATTCATGTGCCAGACCCCCGGAAAAAAAAACGGACCCCTGTGGTCAGTCGTAGTCAAAACATGTTTTAAATCCCCTCATAGTCAGCAGCCCGATTTTCCTCTCTTTTGTAATGATTTGTTTGTATTTATTGGTTTATTATGAATATAGTTCGTCCCGTGATTTCATCAGTCTGTTAAAGATGTTTCTTTGTTTGAAATAAACACAAGCACATATTTCCCAAAGAAATACAGACCCTCAAGGGGATTTCTCCTCAAAAAGAGGAGTGTCCATTGTGTCCAAAAAGCAAGAATGGACTTGCTTCACTGCTGATTACCTTTCAACAGAAACCTTTATTTTGTGATTTTTTTTTTTTTTTTACTTTGCTATTTTGAAGATATGAGCCGCTGTAAAAGCAGCATTACCTCGTCAGAATAAATACATTCGTGGCTGTATTCTGTACAGTTAAGGCTCCAATTCCACCAGTCACCCCCACTAATCACTGTCAAGCTGTCACTCCCCCGCCTCCTTTAGCAAATGGAAAAAAACCTTCCAACCAGAATGATTTAGTCCAAATACACAATTGGTCCACAATTTGCGTAGGCCGAAGCCATGTTTATTTTCACGAGCACTCTGTTTTTTGAGACGGGATGCAGATCATGAAAAGCCGACACATATGGTTAACGTAACCCAACAATGCCTACACTTGATCCCTTTAAATGAAAATGTCAGAAGTGGTTCTCTTCCAGCTCAGGAACCCCTCCAGGTACTAATTATTGAAAGTCTGAGTCTGCAGTTCCGCTACAACACCTTTTTTTTTTTTACTTCTCTGCCCTTTTTATTCCTCCAAAAATAAATAATACCTGGAGATTTTTTCCCTTCCTTTCTAAGTGGCACGTCAAATTTTTCTTTGGCCGTTTTCTTAAGAGTTGGATCAGAAATTTGAACTAACTCTGAAACGTGTGTCCGCTGTTCTCGCCTGTTAGTGTCCTGCTTCCTCGGCCCAGCGCGAACAAAACATTGGGGAGTAATTTGCTTTGCTGATTTGCACGTTTCCCGGCTGTTAATCGTGCTTTAGGACTGTGTCATATTAAAGGCTTTCCTTTGTTGCGCTTCGTGGGGCTGTGCGGGTGTGGCCTCGGTGCCGCTCGAGTGACACGCAGCCAGCGGACGCCGAGGGGATGTTTGTGTGTTCATGCGGAATAGGTGTACGCAGGAATGTGTCACCGCGAAGATGTGTGTACGCGTGTGTTTGTTGGAGATGTTTGCCATATGTGAGCACTGGAACAATTCGGCCCAGTGTGGAGGAGCCGCTGGATTCTGTCTGCCGACATGAGGCACCGTGAAACGCTGCCACACACCCTCACCTCCCGATCACCCTCACGCACACACACACACACACACACACACACCTACGTATTCACAGCCACGCAGATATATGAAAATGGGAATATTGTTTCCATTGAGTCTCACAATAGGAAGTATTGATTCCGAGTGCCGTGCGCTGGGCTGTAACGCTCCGGCTTTTTCCGGCGGCGCGTAAACAGAAAGGTGAAATGTTTTGGAGCTTGAATCAACACATCTGATCAGCAGCGATTGAACGTATGTTGATCTGGGACTTCAGCGGATAAACTCGGAGGGCCGGAGAAATAAACACACTCTCTATGTGTTTGTAACTGTGTTTGTGTATAGGCGATGTAGACTTAACTAAGTACTACATACTTAGAAGGCAAGGGGGGGGGGGCTCTCAATACGCTGATGTATCCCCTATAGTTTTCCTTACATTTTAGTACCAACCACCAGAGACTTCCTTTAAAAAACATTTTAATTCAACGCCCAGGCTCCATCCTTAGAAAGATATGTTATCTCTGTGAAGCATCACAAATGATTGAGTGATATTTTTCACATAAACACAAACACATTCCATTCTATCTACGCAACATGAAATACAGCAAGTTGGCGCCGAAGTCAAAAGTTCTAATTGATATAAGCTTCACATTCTTAGGAATGCAAAAGAGTGCGTTTGGAACAGCTGCCCACGAGGCGTCGCACCGCGCGACGGGGCGAAAAAGCTTGATCGCTCCTTGATTTTAATCACTTCGATTTATGAACACAAAAGGATCTGCTCCTTTGTGTAGAGCGGATCCTCCTACCCGAGCGTCACTCCCTTTTAAGTGTTGGGTGTGGAAGGTTTTTTTGGATTTACCGGTGTTTCCTTGCTCTCAGCTCCAAAAGTCTTGAGAAAGGATCCCAAGTGTTTTTTGTCTGAACTTGTGCGCTCTCTGGTTACTGGTGGTGTTTACTGTCCTCATGCCGTAGCCGAAGGCATTGAAGAATTTTCGAAATTCGTATGGAGGAAGCGGATGAGACATTTTAGCTTTTTGGACCAAAAGCTGCAGAAACAAAAATGAGCTAATCCCTTTATTATCTTTCCAGCAGCGGATTCCGACGGGCGCTCGTGAAACGCGGCTCTCCTCCTATCCAAGCATAACACACCTCTCCCCTTTCTCCCTCGTCCTACCTCTCTCCCTCTATATTTATGCTGTATCTCCTTTTCCTCATTTACTTCATGCTGCGTCTTGGCAGGAAAACGTCATTATAACAAGTCATACCTCGCCGCCTCATGTTTTAAGAAATCCTATTCATTCTTAATGTAGATGGATGTTTTTCTGGCTCTTAAAAACGATTTAAACTTTTTGAAAACCCTTCAACTGAACAAGTTTGGTCCCCTATTCCCGTTGATTCCAGCGAGGCTTCCGGCGCTGTTGTGTAGGGCGTGCAAGCATTGCGAAGAGGAAACAACATAATCTCCCTGCAATATCCTGTTGTGTTTCATTCCTAATTCACTTGTTGTTTCAGTTTATTACATTTTCTCTTCTGTGTCTGCATAAATATTAAAAATATATCCAGCGAGACGAGCCCCGACGTGGACCCAGACGTTGCATGTCGTTCAGCTTTGTCAGCGGATTTGAAGTGTCTGAAGGCTCTGGAGGTCAAATAATATCCTGCTGGAGCACGAAGCCGTCTGTGTGGAGCGGACGGAGCGTTTCACAGGGCACGACGACGGGTGCGGTTTGGGGTCAGTTAGAATTTTTCTGTGTACTAAAGCAATCGGGTGCTTGGGATAGGTTGTATTGGGATGAAGGATTCAAGGCATGAAACACGATTCGGGGGTTTTGATAGGCTACTGTTTTAACATGCTGAATTTTAACGGCAGAAATGCAGTACTTTTCAACATAATTCAGATCAATCGTGCATAGTAGATGCTAATGGTTGCAAGCTTGGATACAATCTTAAGGCTTCATTATATCTTTATTATAAATGATATTTTTCACCTGGCTGAGGAGGTATGCTTATTAAGTTAGATTTAAATCTTGTTAAAGTAAGGAGGTAAGCATTCTGCAGCACGTCCATAGTAATTTACATTACCACTTGTTTTTGCTGTTGGATTGAAGTCTCTAGTTTCTTCTGCCAGGCTTCGTACCATTGATGTGATGTCATTGTTTCAAAGCAAAAGAAAATTCCTCCATAAAAGGCTAGACTCGCATACTTCAGCATTAGTCATATGTTAAGAGCCAAAGGCGTGACAGAAAGCCGCCGCCCGTTTTCACGACGATAAAAAAGAGCCGGCATTAGCTGCTTAACTGGACCCCGTCCAAACACACACGGGAGCGCACACAGACAAACAGCAAAACACACACTGACGCAGTCAAACCACTTGTTGAAGGAAAGTTGGAAGGCTCCCTGAAAACTGGTGTGAAACCAGCAAAAACATGTACTTAGATTTACCGGGCTGATTTTTGGGAGGAGAGTGGCAAGAGCCGCTCGGCAGCAGACGGCGGCACGCAGAGCGCCAAGATAGGTGGCGCGTGTTTTCAGAGTAAAAGGACTCCTCGCTGAGCCATCGGCTGCCATTAGCTAATTAAAACCGATGGTTCGGCACACGACCCGACTTTTCCCCCTGAATGGCGCGTGAAACCGGAGCCGGCCCGGGTTGCGAGTGGCGAGTGACGTTGATATTAATGTGTTTGCATTTAGCGAGGCTCTGACACTCCGGCCTGTCCGCGCAACTTTAGAGGCCACGGTCTCCACAGTTTGAGCTTCGGAACCATCGGAGCCCGGAACTACCTGAGCCTAAAGAGGAGAGAAACGCACGAGTGCTCTTGAGTGGCCAGCAGCTGCAAAAATGCTGAAATTTAAACCGGCACGAGGAACCCAGCAATACATGTAAACCAAACGTGCCGACGCAAACTGTGGTGGCTCTGACCGGGATGAACTGAGAGGTTTTGTGCATGGCTCAGTGAGAGTAGTGAAGGTCAAACGGCGAAGAAAAGAGCATTGATTCAGCATGTCGGGAGTAACCGCACGCTTGAGAAACAGACGTCCTAGAGTCTGTTCAATGGCCACAAACGCAAGAGATCAACTTTTAGGGCTTTACCATCGCTCTGCTACCCGTTGATTCATTTCCAGAATTAATTGTTGTCGGCCGTTCCCCAGGCAAACGAGTTCATCAGGTAGCTCGAAAGTCTAATTAATTTCTACCAATCCACAACCCTGCCCTGCGGTTGTCCTCCGTCTTCCTGCCGGGTCGGCAGTTCGCTCGTCATGCTAGTAGTAACAAAACGCTGTCCATATGTGACGCTGGTATGATGAAACTTCTGGCGGCGGGGCTGTGCGACTGATGTTTTGGCATTCGAAGGAAAGCCCTGGATGGATGGATCTTGCTTGTTTTCCTTGTCGAGTGAGCGGGGCCAACTTCTTGTCAGGCCGAGAGAAAGCTTTCCAGTCGATCCTTTGCAGTAATGTAGTCCAGCACTCCTCTCTTTCACTCACACTATCTATCATTTAGATCTGAATTCAGGGCCGTGCTAGTTTTGTTCAAGCTTAATTGCTTATTTGATTTAAAGTTGTACATTTTCAACTCGCCGCTGAAGTTTCGGTCACTCTCGGTCTGCACGATGCACATCGAAGAATCAAAGAATGAACATACCCTTCTT